AAAGCTTGAGTTATAGATGGTTGTGAGCCACCTGACGGGTGCTAGGAACCAAACTGAGGTACCCTGTGACGCAGAACACAGCACACTTAACAGCTAAGCCATATCTCCAGGCTCCAAATAATCCTAAAATTCTTATAATTAACTAAGAAGAAACTCTCTTTTAGATATAAATCTCCCCTTTAACATATAGAGGATACTTAGATGGACCAACAATAAAAGTGTATAATTCACTCAGATCAAACAAATAAAAGACAGTTGTGCTTAAATAAAACAGTATCGATTTATAAAAGAAAAAAAAGATGGATGGGAAGGAGGGAAGACAGAAAAAAAGTTACGAAGTAAGGGAATGAAGAAAGGAGTGAAGGAAAGAACAGATGTCGCAAGGGGAAGAGAGAGACAGACAGACATACCAACATCAAGGACAAAGAAAGGCAGGCTAGTGCAATAACATTTAAAATGGAAATTTTGTGAAATAATTTATATATGTTTGCATGTTTTAAATTTTATTTTTTGATATTATAATATAGTTATATAATTTAACCTTTCCTCCCTCCAAACTTGCTCTATATCCCTCCTTGCTCTCTTTCAAATTCGTGGCCTCCTTTTTCATTAATTGTTTTTATATATGTATATGATGTATATGTATATACATAAACATTCCTAAATACCACCTCAGCAGTCTGTATAATAGTACTTGAATGTATGTTTTCAGGGATGACCAGCAGTATTCAGATAACCAATTGGAATATTCTTCCAAGAGGAAGACTATTTCTCCTGTTCTCAGCATTCCTTAGTTGCCTGTAGACCTTTGTATAGGACTGAGACTTCTGGGCTTTTCTCTATACACATTGGAAAGTCTGTTGTTGTTGTCCTTGTTCAGCTCAAGTTTAGAGAGTCATGGCTGAGACTGTATAGGTGTAGCTTCTGACATTCATAGGAGACACAAACTTGGAGAAGAGCCAACAACTTGTACTTTATTAAATCACAATAATCCCTAACTACATTCTAAGTACTTGTTCTTAAACCCACAGCTAAACGTAGTCATCACCCATCATCAAGGAAACTTCTCTTTCCAACAGACACCATTTCAGAAAACCACAACTTATCAAAATGCAGCATTGTGGAGCCCAGTTCCAAAGGATACATATCTTTGTATCTTAAGTCAGAATCTGATATTTTCCAAAGCAGAATGGGAAATTTTTTGGAAAAAAAAATCAAATGTGGAAATCTACCAAAATGTTGGGTAATGATTATATTTCTCTTCACATTTGTGTAATTATAAAATGTTATAATAGATAATGGCTAATCAAACCATCTAGCGTGCAAATGAAGAAACATGAGCAAGAATAAGTAATTTGCCTAGCCTGAGGTCACCCACCCTCTAAATTGCAAACTGTGACTCAGTCTTGTGGTTGTAATCCTGAGCATCTGTTCCTTTCCCACAAAACCATAGATCTGTTGATTCATTTCTGTTAATACTGGTTGCAGGCTCGTTTTCCCTGTGTAATAGATACTTTCTTGTTTCATTGTCTGTTGATGGAGATAGGAATGGCGATCATCTAACAATCCAAGCATGACAAAAACACATATCCTTTGAGCTGCTGTAAAATGGTACACCCTGCCTCAGAAGTTCTATATATGGGGTAAAAACGGTGATATGAACTATTTTAAAAAAGAAATGCATGACAGGTGAACAATTTTGAGACAAGTTAAATTAGTCTTTAGAAACAGCCACACAGGAGACTACCCAAACACATGCAAATATTACTAAGGATGCTTTTACCCATCACAATCACACTGTTAGGAAGAAATGTTGATTTAAAATTTATAATCAGAATAGGCATGTCAACTAAGTTTTAAGATTCATTCTTCAACTTGGTAGATACATCTGCTCCAGAAAACATCATAAGCCTGTGTATACCATGATTGCTATGTGACAAGCATTACCATAAGAATGCTCTCTTTGAAAAGAACATTTTGGGAACTAGGGATACCTTTGTAGTAGAATGCTTGGGTTCAATCCTCAGTACAGCAAAAATCAACCAAAACCAAATGGAACCCTTTAATTCCTCTAATACTATACTTAGGAAGAGAAGTAGTGGATAGATTGAGTTGCATGATATTAAAGCATGGCCACAGAAACATTTTCAGAAAAGCAGATGAACTCGCCCAGCTTGTTCGCCCTCTAAGAATGACTATAGATAATTTTAAGCAAATAAGAAAAAAAAATATAACTCCATAAAGACTAAATGAATGAGTGACAACACAGTACTAAATTTACCAGAAATCTGACCTTAGACTGACTCAAGAAAGCAGAACTGTAGAGCAGTGTGAAAAAAAGAAGCCTTCAGGATACTGGGGACTGGCCCCATATGATTTTAGCATGATCCACACCAGCCTGCTGCAGGAAGGAATATGACAAAACTTTAAATGGGAGAAGAGATTCACATGCCTCATAGAGGCAAACCCTTAACTTCTGCTCTGGGAATGAGAGCTGCTCTTAGCCAGCTCAGTAAGAGTCTGGACTTCTGTGATCTGAAGAGGGCAAGAGCAAGAGTGTGAACAGTCTCACTAGAACCCAGAAAATGAGTATTTGCATATTAACTTTTCAGATCAATTTTCCCCTGCTTTCATAGAAATCCCCAACTCTCCTCCACTCCTACCCCCCCCCAAAAGCCATTCATACTTTGGCCTTGATCATGAGGTAATAGAAATGATTGCGCATGGAGTGGTCAGAATTTCAAAGGAAATATAAAGTATTCTCTTTCTTCCTGCTAACCAAATTTCCCCCAGCAAAGGCCACAATTGGCCAGTCCTAGATAGAAACCTAAAGTTTCTAACTGATTATTTTAGGTGCGCCCTTCAGTATGATCATGCAGCCAAGGACACTCAAGCATTTAAGGAAAGCTTCTAATACAGCAGCCAAAAAGAAAAGAAAATGCATTTTGGGGGACATGAACAAAATACAAAGAGAAATGAATTTTAAAAGCACCTCTAGCATTGACAGATTTTTTAAAAAATTAAAAAAAAAACATATAACAACAACAACAACAAAGCAGGAGGTTATCAAACACAAATGAGCATGTGGGGTCCTAAATTAGACATTGAAATTTAATATGTGGTTTGGGCAAAGTTAATTCCAAAATACAAAATTCCGTTTATTTGTTTGTTTTCACTGTAATGAGGATTGAATCTAGAGCCCAGCTTTGTTAGGCAAAGTCTCTACCACTGTGGTATAGCCTTAACTCCTAAAAAAAAAAGTTTAGAAATAAAACTGAAGTTGTCTTCCAATGTAGAAAGCAAAGCAAAGATGGAAAATAAGAAAATTTAAAACATTAATATATGGAAAATATTCCACACAACAAAATCCAAAAGCTTTAAGAAATCAATTTCCTGAACTGAAGAACAAGAATTCCAATAAGGAATGAGCCAAGAAAGTTCCCAGTATCATAAACTGAAACAGATTCATAACCTTGCACAATTTTAGAATGCTGATCCTTGAGACCTCCAGAAAGAAAAAAAATAACAGATTAAAATGATGGAATAAGACTGTGGGACTGTGAACACATAGGGAAATAAAATTCTTCACTATTTTGAAGAATAACTTTCAAATCTGGAATTTTTATATCCAGCCATACTATTCATTAACACCATCATACAGACTGTACACTGTTAAGGTCACTCTTACACATATTACATCTTATTAAAATTTATCACAAAATGGGATCAGCCACAGGAAATAAGGAGAGGAATCAAGAAAGCAGCACTGCACACACACAAATACACACATGTTTGTGTGCATACAGACATATGCACACGCACTCATGAATGTACATACACACACACACACACACACACACACACACACACACACAGCAAAGAACCCCTCTCCAACATGGCAAATAACCCTTCTCAACCTGACTGCAGCAGGAGAGAAAGGTTCTCAAAGCCAACTGCTTCAAGTGGAAAATACAGAAATGCATAATATATTTAAAGAGAAAGAGGGAGACTTATAGAATTGGGGAGGGTTTAGAGATGATTCCTCAGTAAGAATACATAAAACTGGGCCAAAAGAAAAAGAATAAAAACAAATAAGCAAACAAATAAAACCAAAACAAAAATAAAAGGAAGTATTATTCATTCCACAAAAAAAAATAAAATAAATGAAAAATAAAAAATAAAGGAGCAGGGAAGAGTTCTAAGATGAGGTTTACGTGAGCACAATGTAGATAGTGAAGTTGTGAAATTTTGTTCTTGTGCAAGAGAAAGAGCTAGAACCCAGTACTCTCATGTGCTTATTTCACCTTGACTTTTCTACCCAGGGTTATATAGCCATTGTCACCTCCCATTGTTAAATAGCTCTTTCTGAAGCCCATTCATGACTTATTTTATTTGCAAAGTGAACATTGGTGATGCTTTAATTGACAATTCAGACTCTGTGAGCAGACTCTGTACACTGACAGAATGTGTGCAATCCTAAACACCAGGGCTTTTCAGACAAGAAACACACCGTCTCTTTCTACTCACTCTTGAATGTTCAATAGAAGCCAACTCATGCGCCCATCAAATCTTTAACAGGTAATCATGCACACAGTAGTATGAATTGGAGCTACAGTTCAAAGCTCCTGAACAGGTCCCCTAGAGTCAAACATGCTGCATCAACACTTTTCCAAGATGTTCTGTTTCAACAATAATCAAACACTTAAATCAGAAGTAGCTCAAGCAATGTCACATTTCCAATCCAGAGTCACTATAAAAAGTCCTGGTCTCTGAATTTTGATAGATTACAAAGACAACCCTTATGGAAAACTAATCAGGTCAAAGAGTAGAACCCACAACTGTTAATGCATCAGCTCTCTGCAGGAAAAGTTCAGGAAAGTTTTGTTACTGTTGTTTAAAAGACAGTAAAATTTTCAAAACTCAGGCACATCATGATCTTTCAGTCACTTCTCAAGATAGTATATGGCAAATTATTTTCTCAGGAAAAGAAACAAACTTACCTTTCACAAGCTCGGACAGTCCATGCGGCAATTATCCATAATGAGATACTGAAAACCAAGAGTACAGTTCCTGGGCAGATAGTCATTAAAGTCTTCATAACAAAACGCGTATTGAAGTTTATCTTATTAAGTGCCCCAATGCTTCTAGAGGAGGCATCGGTGAAAAGTTTGCTATGCAAAAGCATGACTCTGGCAATCAGGTAGAGTCTTAAGAACATTGGTATAGATAAAATAATATCCACATCAGCAGTGGTTGTGGAGGGGGCATAGGAGAAGGCAAGCCGGGCCGTCCATGTGAACGTATAATTCCCAGGTATGGGATGAATAGCACACACCAGTATTTCCAAGCAGATGAAGAAAATACGCTCATAAGTCATGGCTATTCTCCAGTCATCTGCTCCATTGTCCACCATGAATAACTGAAAAAAAAGTAGAAAAGCGGCTTCAGTATGGCATGGATGCTCCACAAGTGTTAGCGCACAACTTGAAAACATAACAGGTGATGCTTAGCAACTTGGCCAGCTGATGCTTTCAGCCCATAAATTCTAGCCAGGTACACTATTTATAGAAGAGGGCAACCATATCAAAGGGGATTCCATTCTGTAAAAGTTAAAGTGAACAGCTTTTTGCATAGGAGCTCAAATATTTGGGAGTCCATATTACTGGACAATCATAAAGTGGATTTGCTTTATAGCACACTGCTCTCCTCTGAAGGGATGATCTTTTAACCATGCATGGTTCTATTTAGAGTGCCTCTGCAGTCAATTAAGCCCTAGAATGCAGGACACATGAACATTCTTATGAGAATTCTTATTCTTGGCCTTGGAGACATAGGGAGAAACCACAGATAAATGTGGCAGAAACATTTATTCTACTTTCATTATTATTGTTTTTATATCTTATTCAATTTTTCCTTAATAAAGACTACCTTTTCTTATTGTTCTCATCTCTCATACCACAACTAAGAAAAGAATGCCTTGCTTCCCTGCCTATTTATAAACAAGGACACCAGACCCTGGCTGTCCATGAACTACCTAAAGCACTTGAAATATGTTTTCTCTTTTTTGGCAGCCAGGATGACTTGCAGGAGCTCCCTGGCATTTGAGTGCAGAAATCCACGGGTGCCAATCCTGCTGTGATGCTGTAGACCCTTGTACTAGGAAGATCTATCTGCCCTGACACAAACAGTGCCCCACACCAAAAAGATGCCTTTTCTTCCTTCTGCTAAATAGCCAGCTAAACTAAGAATAAACTCAACCAACTGAAGCGCATTTGCCTTTTAGGATGAGCAAGCTACAAAGTGGGTGGGGAAGGATTCCACACAGCTGCCTCTGATGTCCCCTCTTCTAGAGAGATGCACTTTCCATCCATGGAGATCAGGTAGATCCCTGTTCTTCCTTTGTTCTTCTGTACCTATTACTTCTCTCTATGATCCAAACTGGTTCTTTGTTCTATTATTACTTTGTAAAAACGGTAATTTGAGAAAAATAAAATGCCTCTTTTGTATAATACTTGATCTCAGGAGATAAGAAAATCATCAGATATTTTTATCAAGAATGTGTCAATATTTAGAGGGTCTACTTTCTTTACAACTTGATTCTGAGTGACACAGAAGCCTGTAAAAACGGAAACAAACCTCCAAAGGGGCTGGGAATCACACAACTCCAAAGGTTCTTTAAGAGACCTTTTTCTTTACATGACAGTGGAAATTTTATTTCATTTTATTTCTTTTTTTAAGTTTATGTATTTACTTATTATTACAAATTATTCATTTTGTATCTGGCTGTAGCCCCCTCCGTCTCCTCCCAGTACCACCCACCCTCCTTCTTCTCCCCCTATGCCCTTTCCCTATTCCCCTGATAGAGGAGGACCTCCATCCCATCTATGCATGCTTTCTCTGAGCATGGGGTCGATGGATATTAACCATATAATATAGGTCAAACATACTATAATCTATAGTCCTAAAGAAGCTAAACAACAAAGAGGACCCTAGGGAAGAGGCTGAAACCTCACTCAAAAGGACAAACAAGATAGACATCGGAAGTAGAAGAAGACAAGGAACAGGACAGGAGCCTTCCACAGGGGTCTTTTTAAGAGACTTTAAAAAGCCTCTGTTCCTTCTCTGTACACACCTGCTCACCCCATCCCCACTTCACCCTTTCCTTCTTGCTTCTCTATCATGCTTCATGTGTCTGGAGCAAAGTGATACCAAACTCCACTTTCCCTAGTACTTGTGTGCCATACCACTTAGGGAAATATGCAAAGTTCACACCATTACCACTTATCAAAAACAACAGGAAATGAGAAGCAAGGCCAGCTGTCTGTACTAGGTGGAGCTGCTTTTCCAGGGCTCCTTCAGTTCCATGGGGATTTCCCTGCCATCATCCCCTCTGCCACTGTGGCGATCACTAAACATATCTTCATATGGTAAGCAGTTTTCCAGTGTTAACTTTTATTTTCCGTCATTCCCTCCTTCAGGGAAAAAAAAAAAATCTCTTCCCTGGGCTGCTGCACTGCTTTACTTTTTCATCTCTGCTACTCTCAGTTTCCTCCCCAACCTTAATATGACTTCCCACCCCTCCACCCCTCACACCCCTCTGTCCTCAGATCCATATCCAACTCTCTTTGACTGACCTGCCCTGGGTATCTCATCTTTTACTGTCCTTCACCAGATTCCTCCTTTGGGAAATAATCCCCATCATGATAGTCACTTGAAAGTGTAAATTTTATAATCCTATTACTGTAAAGAACAAGATCATTCAAAATCCCTCCTTTGCCTGATGGGAAAGCCTAATCTACATCATCAGCAGACAAGGCATTGTGCCATATGGTCTTGCCCATCTCCCACCTCATCTCTTACGGCTCTTCCTCATAGTTCCCGTGGCTGCAAAGCATTCCATTCTGTGTCCTCTGCATCAGTGTTGTAGAAAACCTCCACCTAATGGGCTCTTCCTTATTCAAAAGTAGATTACACATCACCTCCAAACCTAAACACTCCTTTGTTGCACTATGGTTGCTTCTGTACCTGCTTTTGATGTTTTCACAGAGGACAATGGCACTGTCACCCTTGAATTTCTCTGAGGCTTGACACAGAGACCACATCTACCTACCAGAGGTCAACAGATGCTTATTGCAGCAGCCACTTTGACATATCTACCTTAATGATGACTATCCTGACTGCTGTTAAGGTCTGAGTCTTTAAGCATACTCATGGAAGATGAGAACACCAACTGTGTGACATAAATGAAACTCAAAATGTTCTGCAAACATATCCTGTTGACTTATAAGTCACCGCATGTGTGTGATTTTGAAATTATACAAGAAATCTAGATAATTTTCTTCTTGGTAACTTCCATAGGGAAGTTTCTATTTCATATCTATATAGTATCTACTCCTTTAATAGTTCCTTTTTATCGTCAGATAACAACTTATTTGGAGCTTGATAGTATGCATTAAAGTGTTGTCAGGAACAAGTATTTTCTTCTCCTCAGAACAAAAATAATGCTATTTTTGTTCATTCATGTAACAGCCTATGCCAAGTCCTAAATACAAGGTGCGAGTGCTATGCTACTTCCTAGCCATGTTGAAGAATTCACAGGAGACAGAGAGTCTGCCCACTGAAATTAACTTTGATCAGGAAAGAAAAAAAAAAAAACATCAACAAGATGACTTGAAGCAATTTAATAAAGTAATTAAGCCTTTGGATGTTGCAATGAAGGAAACAAACAGAAGATGAGATGGAGAAAGATAAATCAGACACAACAGATATGGTCATCAGGGAGGCCTTTAGGAGCACTTCTGATTGCAGATACTGATAAAAACAGTCCGTGATGTAAAGGACATCCCAGGCAGGATAAAAAGCATAGGAGGAGCATATACTGCCTTCATAACCGCTTAGTATGCGCAAAGAAAGGTTAATGGCCAAAGGATAGAGTGAAGGCTGGTAGATTTAAACGTACAAACAGGAGACCATTAGGCATCCCTTGTGGGAAATGGCACTGAGACTAGATTTCATTCCAACTACATGGGAGCTCACCAAGACCACAGGCAGGGAAGCGACAAGATATGAGCAGAAGCCTGAAAGGCTCATCCTTTTGCCATGGGGGACTTGGAGAGGTAAGTATGGAAGGTTATACCACACCACCTCTACATTTGAGTGGTTGAAGTAGCCTTGTAACCTGGGTCATGAGTTGCCAAGAAAATGCAAAAGTGGTTTTGATGGCCATGGTAATTGCAATATAGCTAGAATGTGCTGACGTACTGAATCTACATTGAAAAGAGAGGGACTCACAGGTGGCTACTGAGTTTCTAGCCTCAAAAAACAAACAAACAAACAACAACAACAAAAACCAGGATAAATGGCGAGGCCACTTTCTGAGAACATTTCCTACACTCTCCAGAATAAGAAATGAAAAGCCCTATTCTGCACACTAGCATTCTAATATAGATGACAAAGAAAAACCCTTAAGATATACAAGTCACACTGAGAAGCCTGAAACATTGAAATAAATTTGGGAGGCATCTGTATTTAAGTGGTTTATTAGAGCAAATGAAAAACACAAGAAAGTAAAGAGAACAGGACATGGCATTCCTCAAGGCCAAGTTTGAAGAACCTAAGAGGTAGGTGCTATAAGAGGATCTGAAATGCAGCAGTCTCTGAAAGGAGGGAAAAGAGTGGCATTCTGAAAGCCAAGGACGTGTGGGCTGTCAATTACAAACTGTAAAATAGTATTTACCAGGTTCAGAGAAGTGGTAATGTACTCAATAATCTCTAGAGAACACAAAAGCATTCTAAAGGTTACAGTCCCTCAAAGTCAACATTAAAGTCTAAGTGTAGTGCAGAAATATCCTATTTGCATTTCACATAATCTCTGTAATAGGTATGATCTGTTTTCAGCTCACAGGTAGGAGAGTTCACCAGAATGACTGATAGCAAATCAACTCTATGTTTCTTTTTTATTCTGATGTTCTTAAGAGAAGAAATATTTTAGGGGACTGTTTCATTCTGGGTCTATAGATAGTGCCCTTCACAGACTGTGACCTCAGAATATATCCCATAACAAGCTTCCCTTTTCCAGGATAACTGTTTTATATTTGCTTGGATAGCCACATTTGATATATGTCTACATCATTATCTACAGTTAATGGCAGCAAGAGAACTCGGTGGAAGAGGATCTGGAGTACAGGAGTAGCTATGGATACAGCTATACCATCAGATGACCTGCTGTGAAGGGAAGAGGCTCAGTTATGGAGGCCCTACCTGCCTCTGTTTTATGCATTCCTCTTAAACATTCTGCAAGAACCTGGGCTCAGGGACAGCACTTTAAACATCCTGGTGTCCTTTACGAGACCACAATCAAGGGTACTGCCTCCAAAAAACCTGAAACCCCAAAATACTCCTTGAATACTTCAGTCATAT